TGCATAGTTCTTTTGTCCATTTCTAGATATTTCTAATCGTGCTCAAATTTGGGTGATCTCTTCGGTTGCCTCTCTGGTGATTCTGGAGCCGGTGGCAGTGTTGTAGGGCACTTGTCCTGTGGCTAGCCGTGTGCTGGTCATCTCAGCCCAACACAACGGTGGTCTGCATTGTGTCCTATATGGGGAGGTGAACGGATGGTCATGGAAAATAAGGATCGTGTACTTGACGCTCCAACAGTAGTGTCCCTAATCCTTAAGGCGGATACCATTGCCACCAAGTTTAAGGGTGCGGGTGATGTAGCTGGCCTTAAAATTCCTGGGTTGCCTCGGGAGTTTCTTACTCATTGAATCGTTATGTCGACCGGACACTTTTGTGTTTATGTTGGTGCTAAGTGGCCTTGGTGGTCGGGTTATGGAAATGGCTCCATGAGTTGATTCGATTTCCGAACTCAACTTGGCACGTAGGTGATATTTCCGAAAGAGCTTCGGGAACATCTAGGGGAGGTTATTAATTTCTGAGGTTACCCTCGGTGTCCTTTGCTTCTTGTTTCTTATTTCTACTGCGGGCTAGGAAAGAGCGTGGTATTTATTACATAGGTACTTAGGAGTCTAGATGCCAGGGATGATTTGGGGATTTTTCATTATAAGCTTTAAGGGTTTCCTTAATCAATTGGTTAAAGTGAAGGGTCTCTTTGTGGCACATGAAATTTGTATGGTGAGGATCAAGCCAGCCAATGTCAAATGACGCTGTTGGGCTCCTTGTTGTAATAGATGTTGGATTGATTTGGAAGGGATGGTTGTTTGCAATGACAGTGTGTTTTATGTACACGCTTTTAATGTTACCAACTTCGTCCTTGTTATTACTATTGCGAGTATTTTGTACCGTGTTTACCGAGTATTAGTAGTATGTGGGCTCTGATTATTAGTGATGAAATTTCATAATATGGTCCCCACCAGGCCTCACTATAATCGCTTGGCGTATGTAAGTCATGTATATTTAAGACTGGGAAGGTCGTCGACTGAGTGACTCTGCCCTAAATCCACAACCAAACAAGGAACAGGAAATAAGGTGGAATCACGCACCCTAAGCCTTTAAAATCTCAATTATATATGACCCTAATGTATACACTAAGCCATCATAGCTCACCTGCAAGGACCCTTAGTTTTTTTATACGAATGACTTGTTTCGTTCGAACGAGAGAGTTAATTTATAATTAGTTACTAAATCTTCTAAATATCTTTAGTAGGGAAAACGTACCGCTATTCACAAGTGATTCCGGGAGGGTCTCTCCTGCGGCGATCATCAGTACCTTTCCATCCCCGTCAGCATTCCTTGTTATTGGATAATCCCTTCTGAAGTGTCTAGGTTCATCACACGCGTAACAGGTCGGGCTTCTTCCAATACAGGGGGCCTGGGAGGTTGGTCGTGTCGGTATCCTGCAGAAATGGGCAGTGTGCCCCTTCCTGTTGCAATTCTTGCAGTGTAACTTTCGGCATGCTCTATAGTGATGAAAAATCGCACCTGTTGCATTTTGGGCGAATCCCAGGATATGGGGTTCTCAGTGTTGAGGTAGTAGGGTCAGTGGGGGTAGGGGCTGCTACAGTTTGTTGCCTTTTGGTGGGTCCTTGAGCTGAACTGCTTCCTCTCTTGTTCCAAGACTTTCGCTTCCTGTTCTTGGGTTTGTGGTTTGGGGTGTTCTTGCAGGAAGACACTCGCTGGCGCCCTAGGTCATCACTGTGGGTAGGATTGCCGACACGGTTTCCATTTCCATTTGTGTTGTTAACATTGAGTTGTGCCATGACGGTTGTCACAGCAGCTGTCACTACAGCTTGGAAAGTGGCAGAGTCTATTCATAGGATCGGTGTTTCACCGATGTGCTGGTTGTTTCTATAGGAAGACATGATTATGTTGAATGAGGATAAATGAGCGCGTGAGTAACCATGGTCAGTTCTAGTTGTATCCATCCATTTATATTCACTTATAAATTTCACGTGTGGTTGTATGATTCTCAATGCTTCGACCTACATCCCGATGATGTATTTATGGCAAAGAGTAAAAATAGACATTGTACGAACGCTAAGTTTATCATAATAGAATATAGCTATCAATACAATTTAGTGAATTCGGATTACATGGATTCTTGGAGGGCGCACCTCTCTTGATTTTACTACTATTGTATTACATGTTTGATTCTAGGGCTTCCTGGTGTACGAAGTCGATAAGTTTTTAGACTTGTTGTTATTGTTTAGTATCATAAAATACTCATATAGTATCTTAAACCTTAAGGTTGGTTCTAATGTTCCTTTGCATGTAGGGTTGGTAAGTTTTAAACTTGTTGCCGCACACTATCACTCCCAAACACATGTTAGTCGTATCTCAAATAAATATAGTTGATCAGGCTATATTTATCTCAGATATGATTACATAACTGTCCAGGTTTGACTGTAGTGTTCAACATCTAAATACTTTTGTTTTGTTTCTATTGTGATACGGTTCTAGCAGGTATGTATACTTTTATAAAATACTTATATCTTTAAGGTATACTTTTAGTCAGAGTGTTTTAGTCCCATTGTATTTATAGTTGTATATCTTGTATGGTTAGATATACTATTTCACTATAAACAATGCTCTGATACCAATCTGTCACACCACGAATCGGGACGGTGGAAACATCCGGGGGTGGGTGACTTCATCTTCTAATATCATAACAATTGAATATAACTGATACATAGCAACCAAACATCATACATTACAATATACCAACATTTATTGTTTACAAATTATACTTGTTCTTCGATTACATAAAAAATAACATAAAGTATAATGTCTCAAAAAGATGGCAAAATATCCAGATCCAAGGCTCGAGTACCTGTTCACTGAGTCCCTGAGAATACAAGTGGTTTTTAAAAGCGTCAACATAGAATGTTGGTGAGTTCATAAGCTTGTTTGCAGGAAAAACTTTGTAATATCTTCGTTTATAATAAGTTGTAAAACTCCAGAAAATCCAATATTTTCTATAAAAAGTAGTTTGAGATTCTCGTTCCAAAACCGTGTATAATTGCATGCTTGTTCTTTATTTTCCTTTGTTTGTATTTGAAAAGAGTGTGTTCCCAGAAAATCCTATATTTTCTGTGTATAAAAGAGTTGTGGTCTTAAAACCCTAAGACCAGAGTGGTGAAATTAGTTTACAAACTAGACGAAACATAGTTGTGTATTTTATAAAACTAGGAGAGTGCATATTCTTCGTAAATTCAAATAATATTGTTATTCTCTATGTGATTTGTTACAACCATACTAATATGACTAACACGCCTGTCTTGACGTTCTTCAGGCGTCGGTTTCTAAAGATATTTGTCACCCTAGACTGGCCCGTCTAGCTGTAGCGAACAGCTCAGGTGTGGGGATGTCAACCCCGTATAGATCCATACACAATTACCTCGCTCTCCCTTCAGGAGACTCTGGTTATAACTACAGGACTTATGGTGTACGCTATGTAGGTACGGCGAAGGAGTGTCTCACAAGAGCCTCAACAAAAATTTACGCAAATTTATGACTACGTCTTACTTTCAAAATAAGATAATTATGCCTTTAAATAATTATGAGTCCTTTGAAAGTGTGGTTCTCCAAACTATACCGATTATAAATTTACATCTAACACAAGTAAAAGAGCTTTTAGCATGATAAAGACAATTTCTTGTTTTTGACTTTTCTGTCCCTGTTTTTAGAAAAATTATAGAAAAATCTTCATAAGTCAAAATTCGGATCCGTAAACTCTGAGAGTTTGGAAAATGAGTCTACTTTGTTCATAATTGTTATTATAATTTTTAATGGCCTCAAACTAGTGTGAAAATGTTCATCTTCACAAATTGGTCCGAAATCATTCCTGAAATGATAGGCAGTTTTGTAAAAATCGCCAAAAACTGTAGAAAAATCGTATGAACGCGTGCGAGTAGTCCTTAGAAAGTTATAAACCTGAACTATTTGAATCTTCAATAGTTTTGAAAAATATTAATTTCAAGGTGGTCAAAACAGTCCGTAAATGGACCATAACTTTTCTGTTGAAAGTTGAGGTTTAAGTTTAAGTTATGTATATTTGAAACCAACACTCATTTTTGATATTTTTGAAGGTATAACCCTTATCCACAAGTTTTTATGCAATATATATGTTAACAAACATATTTCTCATGATTTTAATGAAGTTGTATAAGATAAACTCTATGTTCATGCAAGTACCCTAAGGTTGAACACATTACACACCGTTACATGCACGTATCCATTGGTTAAACGAGATTTGACTTGTATTCCCCCCCCCCCCCCCCCCCCCCCCCCCCCCCCCCAAAGAGTATGAAAAACATGAAAAATAGTGAGGTATGAAGCTCACCTTGGGGATTTTCGAAATGTAGAAGGAGATGAAGAAGAAACTTTCGAGCCTAGCTTGTGTCTTGGAGAGATTCTCGAAAATGTGGATGTTCTAAAGAGTTTAACACACAACAAAGTGTGTAAATTGAATGTTCTAAGCATAAACATGAAAAAAAAACACTTGAGTTAAATATGGACTTACCAAGTTTATGATCCTTGAAGAACACACACACACCCACGAATTTTTTTAGAAAGTAAATTAGAGAACTCTTGAGTGTTTGAGAAAGTAGCTTGTGTTGAAAATGAAGTTGGTACTACTACAAAAACAGCCTTTTACGACGCGCAATGCGTGTCGTAAAACGCTTAGACGACACGCAAATGCGTGTCAAGGAAGGCCCTATCAAAACGAGAGACGACACACTTTTGCGCGTCGTCTATAGACGACGCGCATTTACGACGAGCATTTATGACACGCAATGCGTATCATTAAAACCCTGTCAAGAAAGGCCATGTCCTAAATGACGATGACACACATTTTTGCGTATCGTAACTTTAAATGTTTAAAAAAATATATTTATATATTTATTAATTTTTAAATTAAATTTGCATTTAATGTCTCATAATAGAAATAAAATTCCATATACAAAAAATACAATCCATTGCATAAAATTTAATGTCATACAATTCTATTTCTCACAATATATAAATTTGCATTCATCTAATCTACTCTGTGTTTCAAACTAACAATTGAAATGAAGAATGCAACACTTGCATTTGCAACATCTTATCTCTTCCAGCTTGAGCTTTCTTTTCCTCTTCTAACTCTAGAGTTATTCACGTTCAACAACCCTGTAAACACAACACAAAATCACTTGTCATTTTCATTCTACTTTTAAAATTAATTCTTATTAGGACATTTTACTTTTAAACCTACCAATCTAGCAAATTTTTCAAAGAATATAATTTATAATTTTTTTATGGAAAGTACATTGCTATTTCTTGAATACAAGATGTTACAAATCAAGAAACTTACATGGACTGCTGACCACCAGTTTCCTTTCAGTAACGATTAACATTTAAAAAATTAAATCGGTGGCTAAAGCTACTCTCCCCCGGATCTGTCAAAAAATGCTTCATCTCAAAGAGAATGAAGGGATCTTTCAAGGGTACAAATACTAGGATTTCAGTGCTTGACCAATACCAAGAATGTAGGACTACTTCTACCACTCCTTTGGTAACTAGGACTATTTATCTGAATCCTAACAAATACTGAAGACAAATTCAAACAGGACCAACAAATCCAAGAAGAACATCATCAATTTTTGGGGAAGTGAATTGTCATTAACTCACCAGATAGGGTTTGAGAGTGTCAAATCCAAGAAGAACGTCATCCAATTTTCATGTTAAAAATCAAAATCTGAAACACCATCAAAGGTTAAAGAAATTCAAACAAGAAACGAGAACAAAGTGGAGATAAGAGAAGAGAATAATACTGTTCTAAGGTCTTTATTTTAGGAATGAACAAGGAGGTGATGGTGAAAACTAATGACCACCAATCAAAGCCTCTGTAATCATCTGTGAAGAGCATCACGCCACAAGACAACTAAGCCCTTTGGGGGCGGTGTTCATGTGTAGAGGTTTGCTGACACGTAGGATTCGAAGCGTAAGAATTTTCCCATACCCGGCAGCCTAAAAGAGAAGAAAGAAAGTGACAAACTGAAATTACCTGCGTGGGAAGTGGGATCAGAAAGATAGCTAAACCAAACCTTGGAACTTGTTGAGACCTGAGGGATGGCTGGCGGAGGTTGCCTCCTTCAATGTTCTTAACATTGTATAGACCGTACAGTAGTGGAGGTTGGAGTTCAACGAGGTCAGATGGTTTGAGGTGAGCAACATGGTCAACATATATCCTTTCAGTTTCTACTGTCTGAAGCAATAATAAATGTTAGGGGTATAATCGTAAATAGTTAAAACAATAAAACAAGCATTTACCTCTATAGTGTAGCTGGAGCGTACAAAAATAAGTTGTGAAATCCCATCAATCACATGCAACTCTTCAGGAGTAGTGATTATGATTATTCATATAAAACAAAAATTAGGTATCAATGATTATTATTTCATCAATAATTACACAAAAGAAGAAGATTATAAAGCATTAATGTTAGGTTGCATACCACTTTCATAGATATTTACTAGAAGATCCTTTTGTGCATGATTGATCAAAGGGTTCAAAAGAACATACACAGGGCTTTCGTTGATATCCATCAACTGTAACAAGATAATCATCATTATCATGTTAAAGAACAGTTTATTGAACAAAACCATAAGCCAATTTCACAAACCAAAGATACTATCAACCAATTTGTGTAACAGAATACAATCTGCAACTCGGATAATAACTAATACTGTGTAAAATCAACTTTAAGAGAAAGAAATTACAAAAAGTTATTTAGTTTTGTATGCAAAATAGGGAAAAAGAACTACTGAATAGATTAGCTTTTTACTAACGAATTCACTCCCAGAGTGTTTTGCTAAACATCCTCCTCATAAGGAAAGATCATTGAACAATTTGATAATTAAACCTTTAAGCATATATAAATGTATCAAATGTAATACTGTTTCACACATTTTGAAGTTAGATTAAAATAACAGTGCTCACAGCTTTGTGTATGTGCATATCTGATTCTTCTGCATCGGCGCCTGTTGAATACCATCCAAGGATGTAGAAGTTGGGAAATACTTTCTTATCTGTTCCAAAAACAAAACCAGATGTTGATTAATGTAAAAGAAACCATTAACATGTACTGCCTTATGAAGATCAAAAAACCCTAACATAAATTAAAGTGTCAGAGAAACCCTAGAAATCGATTGTTGTGTAAGTGTGTAAATATGCGTAGAAAGATAAAGGTGCAAACTCACAGAGTTCCTGTTTTTCTCTAGGAAGGAACAGTCGAGGGAATGGTTGGATGGATCATAGAGAAGTTCAAATCTGTTGAAGATCTCGATCTGAGTGGAATCGGAGATTGGGGAGCAGAAGAAGAGAGAATCAGAGAAGTTCGAAGTGTGGATTGAGTTTTTATGGTTCAATTTCAACTCAATTAGTAAAGAGTCCAAAACGATTACACCTCCCTGTACCTCACTCAATAATCGAAACCATAGAAATTCTTGAGTTTTGTATGAACTTTTCTCACAAATGATGTTCACGTTGCGGGATCCAAAGCGCCATAATCATGCCGAGATCCAGAATCGTATACGTTTGATGTTTACAAATCTGTTGTTGAACCCTGAAGAATCGACCTAGGTATTCCCACTGTTGAAGATGGGAAGTGTATAGATGCATGGGGGTTAAAGGGCTTGGAGATATGTTGGTTAAAGATGTGGTGGCAAGTCTAATATCCCCTTAGTCCCTTATCTTTTTTTTTTTTTGAATAACCCAAACCCTAACCGGCCCAAGAGGGGTCTAGGCCCATGGTTGGCCCAAAAATTTTCATGGGCTTTGATTTGGCTTGGCCCAATGAAGATTTTTGGCCCATTGATGCTTAATAGGGATTTTTGGTTCAAAGAGCCCAAAAATGAGGATTCTCGACCCAACTAAGGCCCAATTTGATGGGGTTTTGAGCATTCTAACACTCCTATGGTGTACATGCAACCCTAGAAACCTTGGATCTATGTTTTCTCTAATATTCATGCAAATTTGATTTTTCCAAGGTTCACATCCTAACTAGCATGGCATAGGGTACTTGTAATATAAAAACTAGTAGGGATGACATACCTTTCTTGTAGCTTGGATTCCTTAAGACCTTGTGAGCCTAGCACCCCAAATGTGATGCCTCAAATGTTTCACACAACACCACAACTATTGGAATAACTTGAGAGAAGAACACTTGATCACAAAATCGGCTGGCCCTCTAGTTCTTGTCTTAGTGGCGGATTTTGCTCCATATTAGGTTCCTGTTATAGTGTGCCACATGTAGGGTTACACCATGTAAACCCTAATATGCATGGCTTTTCATTTACCCCATGATCCATGGGTTTTAACCTCCATGGAGTATCCATAGAGCACCCAATGGGTCCTAGCCCAATCTAGTGAATCATGAACCATAAGCCCACTATATAAGAATGAAAGATTTACATAATCAATCCTCATATATTTAATTAGTCTCTTTTGATCACAAATTTAATTCCAAATTAATTCTTGATCAATGCTAATTAAATAGTATGATTTCATATTAATATATTAGAATATATTAACAAATCATAAGTGTCCTTATTCTCATTTTGTCTATCCAATTGTTGAGATGCCTAGCAACCCAAACGGACCATGCCAAGCCGGGTCAAGTACATACCAAATATAATTATGGACTTAGATACCTTATCCAACAGTCTCCTACTTGGATAAGTCTAATAACTATAGTTGCAAGTATGACTTCAGGAACCAACCAGCAATCGTAGCTCTTTCAAAGTCTCGTGGAACTGAGATGACGATGCACCATTTAAGATAAGTGATCATATAATCCTCTGTTCTAGATATCAGCCGGACAGATACATGGAACAATGTCATACTTATTGTCCAGCAGTTTGTTTCTCGATTTCCGATTTGTTTGACATATAACTACTCTTAACACATCAATTTGGTTCTGACCGGGCCCGGTACATAGGTCAAAACAAAATCATCGAGGGGCCCAGATATCGCTTTTAGTCCTACAAGGACTAAAAGGAACATATAAACTTCGACTCATATGCTTGTACTAACTACTTGCTGAATCATACACAAAAGCACGTTTTATAACATCGAGTCACCAATGGGTTTTCGTACAATCAATGCACAACCAGCTCATATCTCTAGGTTTGAAGACTTATATGATATTATCGTCTCACGATCACTCGAGATAAATTCCATGAAGTGATACAAGTGAGCGAGGGTTGATTCCAATACTCAGAACTTATGAGCATTCATGAATGTTGTAGCAACTTTTGCTATGTCTAACATCTTAGACATCTACAAACCCAATTCATGACAGTCTTGATTCATATCTACTTCCAACATATGACTGACTGTGGAGAGTTTAAATAAAGTCATTATTCTGGAAGTCAAAACATGCAAAATTGAAACAATAGTAGACAATTGACACAAGATAGCAGCACCTTACTTATAAATAAACAACAACTTTTATTTAATCATCAAATGTCAATTACATTTTACAAGTTTTAGATAAACTATCTAATCTATAAAACTAATATCATCCTTCAGCCCGATGCACCTCGCATGCTGCAAATGCTTAGCCCTACACAGTCCCTTCGTGAGGGGATCTGTTGGGTTCTCATTCGATGATACCCTCTTTACCACAAGGAGTCCTTCTTCTATCCGATGTCAATGAAGTGGTATTTTCTGACGATGTGCCTCGATCTGCCGTGATCCCTTGGTTCCTTAGCTAAGGCAACTGCACCCTCGTTATCATAGAAAATCTCCATATGCTCCTTAATAGCCGGTACAACTCCAAGGTCTCCAATGAAGTTCTTTATCCATATAGCCTCCTTTGCTGTCTCGCTTGCTGCTATGTACTCTGATTCGCAAGTTGAATCAGCCACTGTTTCCCGCTTGGAACTTTTCCAAGTAATTGCTCCTCCATTTAGGGTAAAGACCCAGCCCGTCTGAGAGCGGAAATTATCCCTATCAGTCTGGAAGCCAGCATCACTATACCCCACCACTCTCAAGTCATCACTCCCACCAAGGGTAAGGACCCAGTCCCTAGTCCTTCATAGGTACTTGAGAATATTCTTCACCGCAGTCCAAGGAGCCTTGCCCGGATTCCCTTGATATCTGCTGACCATGCTCAAAGCAAAAGCCACATCAGGGAGAGTGCAAGTCATAGCATACAAGATCCCGCCTACAGCGGAAGCATACAGTATTCGACTCATCGCAGCTATCTCAGCCTCTATACTCGGGCTCTAAGTCATACTCAGTTTGGCATTGCTCTAGATTGGTAAGTCTCCTTTCTTGGAATCTTGCATGCTGAACCTTTTCAGCACCTTATCCAAGTAGGTACTTTGACTAAGTCCAATTAGTCTCTTATTCATGTCTCTCAATATCCTTATCCCTGGGATATAGGCAGCTTCTCCAAGGTCCTTCATAGAGAAACACTTCCGAAGCCAGGACTTAGCTTCCTGCAAGTTTGGGATGTCATTTCCTATGAGTAGTATGTCATCCACATACAATACCAAAAAGCTAACTATACTCCCACTAGCCTTAACATATACACAAGACTCATCTTCGCTCCTCGAAAAACCAAACTCTTTGACTTTCTCATCGAAACAACGATTCCATCTGCGAGATGCTTGTTTCAATCCATAGATGGATTTCTCAAGCTTACACACTCTATTAGGGTGCTTTGCATCAACAAAACCCTCTGGCTGACTCGTGTAAACATCCTCAGCCAACTTTCCATTAAGGAAAGCGGTTTTGACATCCATTTTCCATATTTCATAATCATGAAATGCAGCTATGGCTAGCAAAACCCTAATAGACTTAATCTTCGCTACTGGTGAGAAGGTCTCATCATAATCAACTCTCGGAGTTTGAGTAAAGCCCTTCGTAACCAGTCGCGCTTTATAAGTGTGTACATTCCCATCCATGTCGGTCTTCTTCTTGAAGATCCATTTGCACCCGGCCGTCTTACGACCCGGTACATTGTAAACCAAGTTCCAAACTTAATTGTCATACATGGACTGAATCTCGCTGTCCATGGCCTCTTTCCATTTGGTAGATTCAGGGCCTGCCATGGCTTCCTTAAAGCTGTTAGGCTCATCCAAATTTACCAATGTCCTATCACTGATAAATTCATCACCATCTGCAGTAATATGAAAACCATAGTAATGCTCAGGCGGATTCCTAACTCTTGTGGAACACCTCAGAGGTACGAATTCATCAATAGGAGTTTCCTCCTTAGGTTGATTGCTAGGGTTTGAAGGTTCCTTCACTTCTTGACTCTTGAAGTTCTTCAAGGTCAATTTGACTCCCACTTTTTCCTTGGCTTATAAACTCTCTCTCTCTCTCTCTCTCAAGACCCCTCTTCTTGCCACAAAGACCATATTCTCACTAGGTCTGTAGAAGAGGTAACCAAAAGAATTTTGTGGGTAGCCGATGAAAATACACCGCTTATTACGAGGTTCGAGCTTGTCCTGAGTCTCACGTCTCACGAAAGCCTCGCAATCCCAAATCTTGATGTGGTCTAAATTGGGAACTTTCCCAGTCCACATCTCGTGAGGTGTTTTGGCAACCTTCTTGGTAGGGACTAGATTAAGGATATGGGTGGCAGTCTCTAAGGCACACCCCCAGAATGAGATTGGTAACGAAGTTCGACTCATCATGGAACGAACCATGTCTAACAAGGTTCGATTACGCCTCTCAGCCACACCATTTAGCTGTGGTGTTCTGGGAGGTGTCAATTGTGAAACAATTCCACATTCCTTTACTCTCCTCCTCGATCGGATCGGAGCATCTTAATGTTCCTGCCCAGCTGATTCTCCATTTCCTGTTTAAACTCTTTGAACTTTTCAAAGGTTTCTGACTTATGCTTGATTAAGTATACATAACCATATCTACTGTAATCATCAGTAAAAGTCACATAGAAGTGGTTTACATCCCTTGTGGCAGTTCTGAAGGGTCCACACACATCTATATGTATGAGATCCAACAAAACTTCACCCCTAGCACAAGTACCAGTGAAGGGTGGCTTTGTCATTTTTCCAAGCAAACAAGACTCGCAACTGTCATCTGACTCTAAGTCAAATAACTCCAAGACTCCAGCCTTTTGGAGTTGGCCTATGCGCTTCTTGTTGACATGTCCAAGACGACAATGCCACAAGGATGCTTTATCTAAACTAGTGGAATAATCGATATACAACACATTATTTACTAAGTTGATCTACAACCAACACAGTTTAATATACACCATCACAAGGTAATTCTTTAAATAAAAGAACATTATTATAAAAAGCATTAATACCACCACATTCGTTATCAAATGAAAAAGTAAACCCTTGTTCGTAGAAACCGTGAAAGAAATAATATTTCTCGCCATTTCAGACGAGTAACAACACTTATTCAAATCTAACACTAACCCACTACTTAGAAATAAAGAATAAACTCCAATCTTGGTGACAGGCGAAGCTTTCCTATTCCCCATGATCAAGTTTAACTTTCCTTGCTCCACATCCTCACTTCTTCTTAGGCCCTGCATATCAGAACATATATGAATACCACAACGTGTATCAAGAATCCAAGAAGTAGTATGTGGTGAGTTATTAGACAATATAGTGTAAATACCTGCATGGGTAGGC